TCTCTACACCTTAATGAATCAATGCATCAAAAGAGATGATGGATGGGAAGTATCATCAATTCCACATCTCTAATGTCTTTCCATATATGTATTTATTTTTTAAATTTAAGTAAGGTATATACACCCTACAGCATTAAACTAACACATTAGAGCAGAGATTTAACAATGACAAAGGAGCATAAAAGGTGAACAAAAAGATATTGAAAACATCTTCCTAATTAGGAAGGATAGACTGACTTCAGGAAAAAGCAAATTCCAACACAAAATAACCCAAATAATTAATGAGTTACGTTCTGTGAGAAAGGGAAACTTGGAAATAATTCTTATCAGTAACATTTAAATTTATATTAAATTAAGCTTTAATGTTTACTGTAAAATTTCAAGTACAACAATAAAATCCACAAGGCAGTATTAACTTCTCTAAGTTGTTGCATTATTTTCCAGAAGAAAAGGCAATGATTCCTTTTACAATTTTGACTGGAACAGTGAAGCTATTTGTGGGCTTGTCATTAATAGAGCAAGGAAGTGTATAAAATTTACTCCCCTGAATTACCAAATACTGGTACATGTGCCAGCAAACAGACTTCATATATGTACTGATCCAGTGATCTGTGTTGAGCAATGAGCATATTCTCATGGGTCATTGGAGGGAAATCACTGCAGAACGGCCTCTCTGGGCCATGGCCATGAAATAGGGTGTGTTGACATGTGACATTCTGAGGGATAGGTCTACCCTTCCTGTTAATCCATACCCACCTGTTAGCTCACTCACTATCTACAGCAAAGGGAAGACGCAGCTGACAAAGCCACTTTGGAATCTTGTTTCTGACAAGGAGCACACCTTTCATCAGGCTCTTTATTGGCCACTTTGAAATCCTTAGGATGATCCCTGGCATTGCTTTGAATCAGGCCAAATCACGTTTTCTGAGCAGTTCCTCAGCACCAATCAGGAATTACTACTGATCAGGCTATTGTGCACCTGACTGCTCTCTGCTGTAGCTTGTGAAATGTTAATGTTATAAACACAGGCCATGTGCTGCTACTTGTTCCAGTGTCAAAGACTGTCAAAGCCTTCAGGGCTGTTTGGGATCACTAATGTATCTCAAACCAGGTGCATATGGCCTGATATCAAGTAAGAATTTAATAATTTCTACTGGAATCTGATGCTGCTTTCTTATATTCTGTTGTATGAGGCTTCAAGTAAAGTCAGTAGGGACTGACAAGCAAGCAGACATCTGTCTAACCTGACATAGGAATGTTTTTAAGCCAAGAAAATGAAATAGAGGAAGAATTCTTCCATAATTCCATTTATTGGGCATCATGGAGGCCCAAAACTGATGAATTCCCAAACTGTCAGACAGACACTGATATTTTATTGCCCAGTGGCTAGCCTCATTACACTCCATTTCTGTAGGGGATTATTTCATTCCACGTGGTTCCCTGGAGCACACACTCTCACTCATATGCTCTTGCAGAGTGAAAATGGTAGCCAGATGAAAGGGGACGCTCCTGGGGCCCTTGCCACCTGCTACGCTATCCCAAATTTAGCCTCTTTTTTCAACTGTAATAATTAACCAGCCAGGGACATTTCAGTGCCTCTTCATCACAAAGGTGCTTATATGTACCTTATATCACTGAGTAATTCTATACTGAGAAGCAAATAAATAAAATTTTTTCTGTGATACATCATACTAATATCTAAGGGATTTGGTTCAGAACTGATTTCACAATACAGTAATGCTCATGTGGATTTTAAATCTGAGTGTTTTGGAGATACAGGATGCAGCATCTTACTGTAGACTAAAGATATAAGCATCATATAATCCAAAATAGTCTGGCCACAAATCTTATAATTTTAAGGCATTTTACTTAAGTATTTCAGAGAAACAAGCAACATAAATTAGTATTTCTGGATCCCAGAGTTAGGGCGAGTCTCCCTTGCAGGCGGGGTGAACTGGGAGTTTGAAAGGATGTGGGTGTGGATCTCCAGGGGAGGCTGATTAGGATCACTGGGGCCTCTTGTTCTTAGGGTTCTGACATTTCATACCTCAATGTATATAGGGAATTTCTCTCACATATATAAATCTAAAGAGGAGACTTTCCCCTCTTTTATACTGGAGCAAGACTCAATTGTTTATAGCAACACTTATTGACAAACTTTCAGTGCTATTGACATCTAAGGAAAAATTGAAGTTAATTGAAAATAGGTCTCACAAAGCAATTAATTCCCCCCAGGGTTTAAAAACAAATTTCTGCTTTCTGTATTTTCTTATGTAACAGAACACATCAGTTGTGGTACACGCTACTAAATCTCTTTACTTTTGATAGATGTGTTATAGTTGCCTCTCCTCCATCCATCACAAGCTGCATTGTACATGATGGTGGCATTCAATCAGTGTATATACAGCTACTTGAAAATAGGTTTCTAGTGTTGGGCAGCCCACTAGGCTCTCCTTATATGGGGACTGATCATAGAACCAAAAAATAGTTTGTGTTGGAAGGGACCTTTAAAAGTCATCTCATCCAACTCTCCCTGCAATAATACAGGATTATCTTCAGCTGGATCAGGTTGCTGAAAGTTCTGTCCAGCCTTGAAAGTTTCCATGGATGGGGCATTAATTTCTTTTATAAATGAGTGAGACTTTCCATGTGAGCTTATTCTAAGGGAGATGTTTAAAAGAAACACACAAATGCAGTCTAATTCTGCCTTGCCTCACTTTTGCAGCCACTCAAGGAGCACTCTAACTAGCTTTTTAGATCACTAAAATTATCTGCCAAAAGCCCTTTGTCAGTAAGGGGAATGCTCTCTCTGCTCAGTAGATGTTATCACTTGTCAACAGTTTATTTCATAAAGGAGAATCTTTCTCCTCAAACATAGTATTTATACTTTCAACATGTCTCAATATTCATTAATGTTTTAAAAGAGTTATATTTTTCTTTTGCTTTGGACCAGGCACTTTTTAAATATTTTTCCACCATAAATTTCTACTGGAAAGATTAAAAAAAAATGTTTCTTATCATTTTGCTAGTGAGGATTGATCAAAAAAATTTGTCAAAATACAAATTAGAAGCAGAGCAGTGTAGATATTTATATCAAAAGTATTACATGGTATGGTTGTATTTGATGAGAAATAGCTGGATTGATAATCCAGGAGGGCCTAGGTCACTTCTAATTTTATGAACACATAGTATTAGGAGAGGTATTTATACTGACTATATTTATTATACTGTACTACTAGGTAGAACATGTCTTAGCATTGTCTTACAGAGGTAGCAGAATAAAGTATCTCCCAGAAGAACTTAATTTATGACTTCAGAACGCTCCTTTGCAACAAGATTCCCTTTTTTAGTATAAATATAAGAAAGTCAGTCCATAGTTACTGTACAATGTAAAACCTTACAATTAGGTGGTGTGGAATCCTCACTGAAAAATAATGGTTCACTACTTTTCACAGAAGCTGATACAAAAACAAGATGCTGATAAGAGCATCATGGTTCTTGTGAGATGATAGAGCAAACAAACTTTTAAATTGACTGAGACATCCTGTGAGAATCAGGTTCATGATATACTGGTCTGTAGGAAACTAACTTAATTACTTCATTGAAGTTTAAGGAGTTTTAACTTTTTTTTTTTCCCTGATTTTCTCTCCTGGCCTTCTCCCAGTAAACAATTTTAATATGCTATTAGACTGATGATCAAGTCAGATTTACTCATAAGCTTCTTAATCCTATTTAATCCCATGGAATTGTTTTCCTATAATAAAGACAGTGCTTTTCCAAGCATGTCATGGTGTTAAATGCAGATGTGATTTGCCCTGTAGTGAAGATATGATAAAGAAGTGACATTTTCTGCCATTCTATTTAAGAACCTACTACATGGTTTGACTTTAGTATTCTGTTTTTATTATTTGGACTAATCTTTTGTTAGTTTGCTTACAAATCTTTGCTTGTACAGAGAGGCCAGTAGGGCTGCAGTGTCATTTCCTTAATTACAGCACTGGATTTTTTCATTGGATAGCTTATGAAGTCATTATCAGGCCAATGAACTCGTTGTTCAAAGCAAACAGAATTAAAGTTCCACTGTGCTTCAACAATAAGAGACTTCCTAACCTCCCTTCAGAACCCACAGTTTTGCCTATCTTCACTGGGATTTTGCAAATTAAATTCTGATTCTGACCTTGTATAAGACCAACATTTCCTCTAGGAAAGTTTCAACAAATCCATCTCAACATTTCAGCTCTGACCTTCTCTCTCAGTGGAAGAAGGAACATTTCAAAAAATGTTAAGCAAATACCATATGAAAATATGGATGGTTTTTTACCTTCAAATCAGGCAGAAAGTTGGAGCTTTGACTTTATGGGATGACTTTCTGTAGGACAGATAATGAAACTCAGATAAGGCTCTCCAGCTGCTTGAAATACAAAGGTAAGAATTTAAAACCTTTTTTTCTTTTTTTGCTTGACAACATGCCTGTAAAACAGAAAAAAACCATTTGCTCTTTATCCATGCTCAAAGACACTGTTGTGAGGATCTTATTACAGGTACTAAACCACATGAGTGTAGTCAAGATGAGTGTATTCTTCGAACAGAAAAGACCAATGGACATGATAGTGTTGGAAAAAATATTCTGCCAAAGGAATTAAAGAGAGAAATAAAAACCCTAAACATTTTGCTTTTGAAAATTGGCATGATGAATCTCAGTAAAACGTGCTTTTATTTCTCATGATTTTGATTTCGGGATTTAAAATTTTTTAGACCTGAAGATTTAACAACTTACTTTACCAAATCACATGACTACTGTCATATTTAAATGCCAATGATTTTCAGCATACTGTCAGAGACTACTATATCTGGAGGATCAAAATCTGTTTTACCTGTGATATCAGTCCTCGTTCACTTAGGCATGAGCTAAGAGGTTTTCTTGCTACTGAACAAACAGTCCATGTTCACTGTAATTGCAAATAAGATGAAAGTGTCTGTGTTTGGGAGGAGAGTTAAAACTATTGCAGCTTTTCATGCCAAAAAAAATCTCCCTGTGTGTGAATTCAGTGTTGCTGGCAAAACCCCAGTCTGAAATGGGTTTTCTTACTCACTTAACATATTCTTCTGGTGTGAAGGAATAATTTCCAACTAAACATCTTACAGAAAGCTGCTTGCTGATTTTGCTAAGCACATTTACTGAAAATTAGTTCTCCTAATTGCCAAAAATACTTCTTTTCCAAATGTTTCTTACCTCGATTCTAGCCAGCAGGCAAGACATACTCTGATGGGTAGAGGAGGTATGAATCAAGTCATGAGGTGAGTTACTACCTTTTATATTGCTTCTGAAATGAATAGATCCTCACAGGTATCAAATTAAATTAAAAATATAATTCTGTATAAATAATCTGTTAATGAGATTTCTGTTTCTGTTAATTTCCATCAGAATGGAATGTAATGATGAGGTAAAAACTAATTACATTACATATGTAGTCTTGTACTTCTGATTGTGCCTCAAATTATTGTTTTAGTAATGTACAGAATACATGCTTAAAAACTAGTTTTTCAAAAGCAGAACTTACCTGAACTATGTCATGCTTGAGTTCCAATGCTTCTGAGAGTTATTGAAAAGTCTAATACCTCATAACTACATTCTATAGACTTCTGTTGGAACTATTTTCTTTCCATAAGTGTATGACATTTTTCTCAGATTTTATTAATATCTTTATAACTACTAGAAGGGAAAAAGTAGCTGAGATTACAGTCCCTCTGACAACTTAAGTTCTCCTCCCCAGAAAAGTTTTATACCTGTTTAAATCACATTACGCTTAAGTAACAGGGGAAAAAAAAGAAAAAGCCTTCTCTGTTTTTACTCTGCTATCTTTTGGTGTTGTGGATACCTGGTAACACTTCAGCAGATGAAAGATCAATGGAAATACACACTTTGACTGTGACAGGGTTCGGATCCAGCCCTATGTGTATGATTGATTTTATCACCCAATTAATCTACTCCTCCTCTTTGAAAGGGATGACATCTCAGACATAGATTTGGTTTAAAGAAATAAAAATAATGATAAAATCTCGAAAATCAGTAAGTACAATAATTTGGTAATTTTATTCTTAAGATTAAGGAGATCAATTTTATAATGGATATCAAATGTTAGCTAAAGTCTATGAATATATATATAGAAATATAAAAATACCTGTGAGAGATATATATATATATATATATATATATTTATATGTATAGGCATGTATGAATACATATATATACACACAAAGATTTCATTTGGATTGAATTTCATTTTGTGATGCTTTGCCTACCATTGTTAAAAGTTTGCTTTTTAATCAGCACTGCCAATACTAAAATAACTATTTTAAGAAACACAGAGATGAATGACAGATTTTCTATGGCCAGACTGTGTATTAGTTAGCATTCAGATAAAAGCTGATGGTTGCTGGACTTTGGATTTTGAGATGTAATTGTCATGTTTCAAGAAAATCAAAATTAAAGGAAAAGGATGATTAAAGATCTCAAGCTAAATTAAGCTTTGTTAAGATGTTTAAACTAAAATGTATGTACAGAAAAAATAAGAATGCAGCCCTGAAAGTTGTTGTGTAAAACCCGTTCCAGTGACTGCACTCAAATTATATGTCAGAATTACTGGATTAGAACTCTATAGGTGAAGAAATCTTCTCTTTGTTTGTTTGTTTGCTTGGTTGTTGTTGAATGCAACAACAAAGCAAACTTTTTATGAAAACTTTGACTTTGCATAAATGTTTGAATCCAAAACATTTGGATAAACTACCAAATATCTTTAATTTCCCAATTTTTTCTAAACATCTTTGTTGATCCCCTGACCAGCTACATTAATGAAGTTTGAATGTGTGCCTGGTTACTGTTACCAGTCATTTTGATGAATAATATGGCTGCAAGCAATTAAAATTTTCATATAAAAAGGAGTTGGCTTAGAATTTGAACTTTCAAATGACTACCAACTAAGTTAAGAAGAAAATTTCTTCTTTAGTACAACAGTATGGTTATACAGGTATGTGAAATGGTGTAAAAAGTACTTAAAACAGGGAGTTAGATGACAGTTTTTCCAATTATTATCTTTTCTCTTCAGAGGTGTCTGCTGGAAAGGGAAGGTGATGATGCTCACAGACGATACTGGCAGTGACCTAAGGAAGGAGAAAAAGCAACAGAAATAAATTCTTGTAAAAAACCAGCCTGACTTGAGAGTCTTTATTCAGAGAGCACATAAAGACTTCTTGTATTTTAGTATCATCTGGCAGAGCTTAGCAAAGTAAAGATTCAGGAAGTAAAGATGAAGGTATGCTGGTTTGGGCTGGGGTGAATTTTCTTCCCAGTGGCTCGTATGGGGCTGTGTTTTAGATTTGTGCTGAACACAGGATTGATAATAAAGAGATGGGGTTTTTTTATTGCTGAGAAGGGCCTACACAGAGCCAAGACCTTTTCTGTCACACTGTGGGGGAGACTGGGGGCTCACAGGAGGCTGAGAGGAGACACAGTGTGGACAGGTGACCCAAACTGACCTAAGGGATATTCTGTATGACATCATATCCAGTATATAAAGTGGGGGGAAAAAGGAGGAAGGGATGGGACAGCCAGAGTGAAGGCATTTGTCTTCCCCAGTAACCATTACATGTGACAGGACTCTGCTCTCCTGGGGATGGCTGAACACCTGCCTGCCCATGGGAAGTGAATTAATTCCTTGTTTTGTTTTGCTTGTGTGCATGGCTGTTGTTCTCCCTATTAAACTGCCTTTATCTCAACCCACAAGTTTTCTACCTTTTACCCTTATGATTCAATTCTCTCCTTGGTGCTGCTGGTTGTGTGAGTGGCTGCATGGTACTTGGCTCCTGTCTGGCATTAAACCATAACAGAAGGTAAAAAGGAGTGTGGAACACAGTGACATTTAAAGATATCAAGGATACAAGGGTGCAGAATAATACCTAGAGCACAGACTTTTGGACTTTGATATTTCCCCTGCATGCATTGCAGAGGCAGAGGTAGTTGCAATTCTAACAGTTCAAAAGCATATTTTCTGGACTGCAGTGACAGAACAAGAAGAAGAAAAAAAAAAGAAGACAAGAAGGAAAGAAACACAGGGAGGAAAGATCAAATGGTAGAATCATTTGCAGGCAGAAAGAGAGAGGGATGAGAGATAATCAAGCTCCACATAGCCAGAAAACAGCAGACATTTGTGACCATGAAAGAAGAAAATAAAAAGGCATGTTGCCAAAGCATATTCAGGAAATAGAAAGGTTTTGCTATCTGTCAGGTGGTATCTGAGAATAGTTCAGTCAAAACAAAATGTCTCACAGACAATTTTTCCTCTTATAAAGCTTTGGTTCAACTACTAAATATGTAGTTTACATCAGTATTAAAGTCTCTGGTATATTTCTGTTGAAATGGGTGAAAATAATGAAGTTCATGTATTGAAATGGAAAAATACATTAGAATGGAGTATGCATAGAAGCCTACACCATATATTTTTAGCAAATTGGTGCAGTAAATGCCAGTGAAATCAATTCTACAAACATAGAAAAAACTTGCAGAATTTCAGATAGTCATGCACTGACTTTATGGATCTCTGGAAAAAAACTGCTGAAGTCACCAAGGATTAATAGCAATTCAAAAAGCAAAAGAACTAGTCTCACATGGAGGGCTTTATGACAGGAATATTCCGTGGCATCCACAGAAAAAGAACTTCTCAAAAGACAAACATCATATCACCCAGCTTCAGGATTATGTGGATTATGTGTTGTTCACAGATGAGAAGAATTCTAAACTAAGTAATTATGTAAAATTGTATGAAGTCATGTAGAATCTGATGCTGATTTCCCAGGTGCTTTTGCTTTCCTCCTACTTCTCATTACCTTTAAGTTTTGCCTTCTGCTGGAGGTAAACAGGATAAGAGTAATCAGCCACTAGTCAAAACCAGAATGGTAAGCAGCCATATTCCTACTACAGAATTTTTTACTAAAGAAGGTAACAGATTTGTTCAAGTTGCCACATAAAATATAAGAGTTGATGAAATATTTTCTTCTTTTAAATGTTCACTACAAAAGGGATCATAACAAATGTTTGTAAACTGAATGATTTGCACCTCATCTTTCATTTTAAGATTTAACAACCTTGCACAGTTGAATTCATCCAACCAACAAAAAAACAAGGCCTCTAACAAAATCTTTCTTTTAAAGCGTGCTTTCAAGTTTCCTATTATCACTTGGACACTGAAATAAAACCAACAGTTTTAGTGCTAGACATTTCCTCCCCACCTAGAAAAACCCACAGCACAACTCTTTTGTGGACTGTATGGAATATTGAAATATTTCTGTATTCATAATCCTACAATATATGCTAATTAAATAATACCACAATGAACACTACAATGATTTGTCGAAATTCTGTTTTTCTTTAGACAATATTGAAGACTTCTATGAATTTGAACAGAAAAATACAGACAGCAGTTTGCAAGGCTTAAGCTTAGTGCACAGAATTTTGCTTCAACAAGCCTTCTAAAATTGACAAAATATTTAACATCACATTTCTTAGAGCAGTTTACACAGAGAAAGATATCCAAAAGAACGTACTTCTGATGAAGGTGACAAGTAATCTAATGAGCTTCCTTAGAAAGAAAAGAAAGTCCTTCAAGGATGACTGAACCAGCCTAACTTAGATATTTTCTAAGCTCTTGCTGAAAGAGGCTTTGTTTCTGTGTTGAGTGTAAAGAAAACACAGTGGGAGAAACAAACCAAGAAAAGCAGCCTCTGTGACTAATCTCCTTTGAGTTAAAACATATTGATTCAAAACTTTGTGGTGCAGTGTTTGTTCACTGGTCAAAGCCTGAAATGAGTAGCAGAGTAATTCAGCTACAGAATATACATGACTTTGATTAACCATCAAGCTAACAGAGAGAACAATCCCATCCCCTCTAGAGAAGGGGAAAAGAAAACAATTTCTAGAACCTTTCGATTCAGGCAGTTAGTCTCTTGTGTCCTCTAGCTAATAAGCTACTCTCTGCATGAATCCTCTTTTTGACTGGAAGCCTTTTAAATCTGCCAGCTGGAAAACAGGCTTCCATGTGGCTTCTCATCTCTGGCACCTATTTGTCTTGACAAACAGGGCCAGCTGCACTTCTGGGTCTTTAAAGAACTATGTGGCCTCATATATTTGCCCCACATATATCGCTGCAGTTAATGAAGATGCTTTAACATCCCAGCAGAGGATTCACCTAGTGCAGAAACTACCCTATACTTGCACAGGCCTTTCTATAGCTCTCCTTCATGCA